TTGGAGATACGATATCTCTATTGTATCGTCTGTCGAGATTTGCTTTTTCTTTTCTTTTCTTTTGTACTTTTCGATATATTTGTGTGTGCTAACTTTCTTTATTTTCAGCCGCGAGTGACATTTCGTGTGCGTGAAATCTTCGCGAATTACGTTAGTTTAGAGAAAAGGGTCCTGAGAATTTCGTGCGCGCGTTATTTCGGGAGAATTTAAGTGGAATTACGAGAGTGTGCAAAGTCTTCGCAGGATATTTGGCGACCCGAAAAATTAGTGTCGCGAGAAGTTATTCGGTTTTGAGTGCTGTCACGCGCCCGCTACATCCGTGCGTCGCGCGCGTGTTTACTTAACACATTCCTTAGTTTTTCTGTATTTTCGCGTTAAACGTTTCACGCGTTGTCATTGCGAGTATCGGTCGTTTCAAATTTTGTTTTCGCGAATACTTGTTTGCTTCACGTGCCACATCGTGCTGTACCGCGACCGTGAAGCGATCGAGAGAGGAAAGCACGCAGCAAGCCGACGTGTTTAGATTTCGTACCGAGTGCCCTTGTTTCTCGCTGGTTGTACGCCGGGGGTATTGTCAAAAATATTTAGGCCACCGTGTTTGCATGAGTCAGCAAAATGTCAGAGGAAGGTTCGCGTTTCGGGTGGATTTATAAGCTGCCCTTAGAGTCATTGCGCGAGGAATTAGCGCGTAGGGGAGTTGAGGCCGAAGGTGATATAATCGCGTTGCAGGACCATCTTTTGCGTCACGAATTAAATGTACGTTTAGGGCCGGCGACCGCTCGTGCCGCGAATGCTGGGGAGGGCGCGTCTAACTTCCTACGCCCCTCGACCTCCGCGGCCGTAGCGCCGGACAGTCCCAGCCGTTTCACCGCCGAGAATCAGACCGGTAGCGAGGACCTCCTCGCTGACCCACAACCGGGATCGCCGCCGACCTTCTTGCGCGACAACCGTACGTCTTCGCGTCACGCGGCAAATGACATGTGCAACGCGCTGCGAAAGGGGAACGTCTCGTTTTCCGGTGCGCACGGGAGTGACGCGGAAGCCTTTTTGACAAAGATAAAAGAGGGTCGCGAGTTATACCCGGTATCGGACAAGGAACTATTTCGGTGTCTCCCTTTCTTTCTAACGGGTATCGCGTCCTACTGGTTCCAAAATCGAAGGGCGGAATTACGCGCGTGGGAAGATTTCGAGACCGCGTGGCGTAGTAGATTTGGTGATCCCGACTTTCAGAGCGCGCTCCGCAATGAGGTTCTGCGTCGCGAACAGGGAGAACATGAGTCTGCCGCTGATTATATCACGTGCATGCAGGCCATGTTCAATCGGTTAAGCCCGCCGTGGAATTTAAGCGATCAATTAGATCATACGCACCGCAACCTACGGGCACAGTCGCAGCGTATTATTCGCCGACATGAATTTTCGACTTTTACCGAGTTAGAGCTGGCCACCCGATTGGAAGTAATCGATGAAACCGCGAACCGACCTCGACATACCGTCGCGCCGGAGAAGTCCCTGCTTCCCGACCTCGCGTATCGTTCGTCGCGTAAGCCCGCGAGGGGTACCGCGACCGCTGCGGTTGAAATTGCTAACCCGAGTAACGCGAACCGAAAAGTTCCGAGATACAATCGCGAGACGAGATCCTCTGTTAATACGGCCGCTCCGACCGCCGCTGGCACCAGCACCGCGAAATGCTGGAATTGCCAGAAGATAGGACACATCGCGCGCGAGTGTGGGGAAGAACGTCGTGTTTACTGCTATCGCTGTGGAAAGTCGGAAGTCACGACGAAGACGTGCCCGACGTGTTCGGGAAACGCTTAAGCGAGTCGCCCGCGCGGGTCAGAGCGGCTCCCGTGAACCCTGTCGAGACCCGTAATGTTACCACGGATTTAGAGAAGTTACAGGTAGCCTTTCACGTGTCAATGTTGCCGCCATTGCGATATTTCCGCATTTTTATCGGAGAACATCCGCTAATGGCTTTAGTCGACTCCGGGTCAAGCCGAACCATCCTGGGTAATAAGGGAATTGAGATTGTGCGTCAAATAGGACTTCCGACGCGGTCCGCGAAAGGGTTTCGTATACGTACCGCGAACGGGCAAGTTACCGAGATATCCGAAAAGGTTTGAGTATCGGTAGCGTTAGAGGGCGTCCAGCGAGAACTTAATGTTTATTTGCTGCCGGATTTGGTTGTTCCGTGTATCGTGGGGATGGATTTTCTATGTTTAGTATCGGGTTAGATTTTGCATCGGCGGGGTGGCATTTCGCCGACCGTCCTTGGGAGCGTTACGCTTTTGAAGATCCTCCTCTCCACGAGACTTACGCTTGCTGCGGGCTTTCCGAGTTGACCCCCGATCAGGAAG